TGTATAATATGTTTGTATAAATTATTCGGGACCTCGTTAGATTCTACGATGCCGTCGTTGTATCTCAGATGATGATGATTGTTCTCGAACCATCGTATATGTTTTTTAATTTTCGGATCAAGATCTTTAAAGGGCTTGAGTGATTTAATCCAATAATGCGCTACATACCGACCATCCGTGAATGTCAGCTCCTTCGGTATAAATTCAGGAATACAAAATCTCTGCATATCTATTACTAGAAACTTCATCTTGTTCAGACTGTCAAACCTAGACTGATACATTTTTTCAATCTGTGTTCAACTTTTAATACAGCCCCAGTAACATTTTATATTTATTAAATATTGAATTTGTAACATTTACATAATATGGGTAACGACAGATTTTTTTTTTTTTAAATAAATATTGTTTTTAAATATTGAATATATATATATATATATATGTATATTTATTCCCAGAGTATAAAGTGAGCCCCTCAAAGGGAAAATTCACGGTTGAAGTGAGGTCCAGCACAAAGTGAGGACCAATATATGGACCTCACTTTGTTAAACCACTCAAATTTTACTATATGTCGATCCCACCATTATAGATTAAAATTCTACAAAAACAAGTTGGACCTCAGTTGATGAGAAAAATGATCTAAACTGTATAACTTAGTTGGGCATGTTTCCGCTTGGAGGCGCTACCTCTGATGTATATTTTCTAACCGCACGGCAGTAACGGAATCACAAGGTAGCAAATGAGGACCGTAAATGTGGCAACCTTGTGTATAGTACTTACGCACACGTTCTTATGATGTTGCCTACTGGCAGTTGACCCAGTTATTAATTTTTTTGATACACCCCGTATCGTCATCAATTTTTTAGGGGGGATGAGCAAATACATTTTGATTAAAAATTTACCATGTTTATGATAACTTTAAAACATCTTCAAAATTTCAAAGCATTCGGTTTCGTAGTTCCTGATTAAATCAATAAAATAAATTCACGTATTCATTAATTTTTTTGAGTCAGCCTGTATACGCAAATCCAAAAAATATGAAAGGAATGGTAAATTACAAGGACAGATTCATCATTTTTTACACAATTTAGATAGGATTTATTCGGCAAAATTGTGAGCTGACGTCACGAATTTGTTGGAGGGAATAAGTAATAATTATGCGAACTTAAATGAAAAAGACACTCGTATTCTCAGATCTAAAAAGAATATAAACTGCACTGCCTGTTCTACGATTGATGTTGGTGGGCAAATTCTCGGTCTTACTAGTGTCATTGAATGGCTTCAGAAACAAATGAGTGAGTTTAAAGTATTGTTGTCCTCACAAAGTAATCGACCTCGTATTTGTAATAATGACTCTTTTACTATGGATGATGTTCGGGGCGAGATTGATGAGCGTAATGCCAAAGAAAAAATATTATTATCTTTAATTTGAATGAATCTGAGTGAGCTGCCGGTGATTTAAACTTGGTGAATGATATTTTTAAACGTTTAGATGTTAAAGTCGATACTGGCAAAATTGGGATTTTTTGATTAGGGAAAGATAGGTCTGACAATAAAATTCGACCTTTAAGGACAGTGTTAAATTCTAAGGATGACGTGGGATTGGTATTAAAGAAAAGCAAAAATCTAAAAACTTTTGTGCGCAACCTCAAACTATTTATCAATAAATATTTAACAATGAGGCAACTTGGTTTGAAGAGAAAAATTATCACGGACTTTCATGATAGGACGGCTAAGGGGGAAAATATATTTTTTTAAATACTCGAATGGTATGCCTCAGATAGTTGTTGCAAAAAAACTGTAACTATCCAACCGTTTGACTTTGTTTCTATAAGATGTTATTATCAGAATGTGCGGGGTATAAGGACTAAAACTCTTGAGTTTTATGAAAATGTTCTAGCTGGTGATGACCTGGATATTATTTTTCAGAAACATGGGCTAATGATATACTAAATTCTGAATTGTTTCCAGTTGATTATTAAGTTTTTAGGTGTGATCGTGGCTCAGGTATCGGTGGTGGTGTAAAATCGAGGTTTGGTTGTAAGTTAATTGAATTTGAAACTGATTTTGAATGATTACAAAGTTGATGTTATTTGTTGACGATTGCACTTTAGAGGACTGAATTTCGTAGTTATTGTTATTGTTCCTTCATTTACCCCATCCTTGATATATGAGCATCAAGTTCATAAGCTAAAATTAAGTGATTTGTTTAATGAAAAGTTTATTTTTGCGGATGATTTCAACGCTCCACTGTTGAATGAGGTAGCTTGTTCTAAATCTCTTAGTATCGTAAATTTTATTAGTTCTGTTGGTGCTGTACAAATTAATGAGGTGAAAAATGTTAATAACAGATGTTTAAGCCACTCAGAAATTACCGTAGTACGAGAAGACTCAGCATCCTGCATTGTTATTTGATATTCAATACCCATCTGGGAGATTTAAACCTTTTATAGTATCTAATTCTACATCATATAATTTTAAGAGATGTAATTTTAATGAATTGTTAGTCTTATTCTTAGTACTGACTAGGACTCCGGTTTTCAAATGTAATAATATTAAGAATGCCTGCACACATTCTATGCCATACTGAATTCTTATTTAAATCTAACTGTACCAGTTATCTGTAAACGTGAATGTTCATTTCCAGTTTGGTTTTTTTCAAAAACTAGGCGAGTCATAAAAGTTAAGAAACATTATTTGAAAATATGGAGGTCTACCAAGTCTAATATTATTTATTGTGTTAAATTTAAGAATTATCGCAAACTTGTAAAATCAAGTATTAAGACTGACCATCTTGCGATGGTATCTAATTGTATTCGAGATGATCCTAAAATACGGTGGTCGTTTATAAACAGTCTCAAGGGGCAAAGGCGTATTCTAAGTTCTATGTTAAATATCAAGGGTGATATTATTGATAGTCTCTAGAATATTTCCGATGCATTTGTCACATTTTGAGTCTGTGTATGAAAGAAATTCTGCTGTAAATTCTACATGTGAGCTACTGCCTAATTCTAATGTTAATATCTGCGTAGTAAAGGAATTTAGTGATACTGAGGTGTTAGCAGCACTTAGCAATTTAAAGAACAACAAACCCATTTCCTTCCATATGGTTCATCAACTGTCGTCCAAACAACACGGATTTGTCAAAGGAAAATCTACTGTTACTAATCTTTGTTCTTTTACGGATTATGTTTCACATCCCCTTGACAACCATTTACAGGTTAATATAATTTACTGTGACTTCTCTAAGGCTTTTGATGCGATACATGCTTTTACATAAGCTACATGTCTTTGGTTTGTCTGCTGATTTGGTTGAGTTTGTTCGTTCCTAGCTGCAGGGTAGGAAAAACTATGTTTAATATCAAGTTTTCAAATCTTGGTTATATGAACTTCCGACTGGAGTTCCACAGGGGTCAGTGCTTGGACCCTTGTTGTTTTCTGTTTTTATTGATGATGTAGTGCAGGGTCTTTTTTCTTGTAATTGTTTACTTTATGCGGACGACTTAAAAATTTTCGAACTATTGAATCTGTAATAGATTGTGAGTTACTTCAAACTGACCTTAACATGATTTATTAGTGGTGTACTCCTAACAGTTTGGTACTAAATAAAGACAAGTGTAGGGTCATGACTTTCTCAAGGAAACAGAATACCATTGTTTATCACTATGCAATTAATCAAAAAGCACTGAAACGTTGTGACACATTCTTGGTGTCATATTTGATTCCAAATTAACATTTAATAGTTATGTCGAGACGTTGTGCAAACGGTGTAACAGCATTTTAGGCTTTCTTACAAGAAGTACGCGTGATCTCAATAATCAAACCCTTGTCAGTTTCTATAATACTTACATTCGTAGTAAATTGGAGTAATGTTCTGTTGTTTGGAATCCATGCTATAAGAATTATGCTGATTTGGTTGAAAGAGTACAGTGCAAATACCTAAAAATCTTGTATTATCGGAGGTATAGAAGCTTCGTTGAACATAGTTATCCTTCTAATTTGTTATTGAAAGAGTTTTCGTATATATCTTTAAGCAATCGTAGGATTATGTATGAAATTGTATTTGTTATAAAATTAATTAGATATGTAATTTCTGATGAGTAGATACTTATTGGCATCGGTTAATTTACTAGTCCCAGGAATAAATAGTAAGATGACGGACACATTTTATCTACCTGTAGCGAGTATGGACCATTACGCGCAGTCACCTATACATATTATCTATGTGTAGAAGTATTAATAATTTATGTTCAGAGGTTGACATTTTCACCATTAATTTACGCAGACTAAAATCTGTTATTTTAAATAGTTTTTAGATGATTTGTGGAAGGGTGGATTATTTAGGAATCAATTTTATAATTCATATTTAATTTACTTACTTTTGGTTTATTGTGGAATATATTTATCCTGTAATTGTATAGCTGGTGGATAAATAAAATATGATTATTATTATTATTATTAAGTAAATATATTTTGATTAAACATTTATCATGCGTATCATAATTGTAAAACATTTGCAAGATTTCAAAGCATTCGGTTTTGGAAATTCAAAATTAAATTTGCAAAGTGTTGTTTTATAATTTTGATTTTTTTTCCAAAAATGTGGACGTTTCGCATAAAAACTCAATACGGAATCATAAACTACATGTGTGGAGATGATTAGACAAATTTTGGTTAGCGTTTTACCATCTACATGATATTCCTCATATAAATACAAAATTTGACAACTATCGGTTCAGTACTTTCGGGGATTATCTGTCTAATAAAAATCGGGACGGTAGACGGACAGACGAATGGACAGACAGACAAACAGACAGACAGACAGACAGACGGACAGACAAACGGACAGAGAGACGGAAACGGCAGACCTATTTCTTCGTATTATAAGGGTCGTGAAAGGTCGAGAAAACGTAAAAGTAGAGAGTCGGCCGATGGAATCGATTACAATACTTCCTTCGCTTACGTTCGGGAAGTAAAAATAAGTTTATAATCTGAAATAAAATTTATTTGTTTTGGTTATATTTGTTTACAACAAAGATTTTCATTTTTTCCCAAGATTTATTGGAAAATAAATCGGGATGTTCACTTTTTAAATGGAGACATTCATTTTTCTTGGGTGGAATTTTCTTCTTCAGGTGAGTTTTGAAATAGCTTAATACCACTTCTTTTTGACTATCCGTCCAGGGCTCTAGCGTACGTTTCTTTTTCGTTTGGGAAACATACATAGAATTTTTCTTAGATGAAGTGGGTTCCTTCTTTAAATTACAGGAAAAACATTAAAATATTGTGAAATAATAAGAAATACCTATAATACTCACGTTGTTCTTATCAATCTCGCCTCTTATGTTTTGTTCATTGAAGTCATCACCTTCACTGTCGCCATCTGACTCTTCTACTATATCTAAATTGATGTTGATGTCGTCTAAGCGTTGCCCTTTATATTTCGAAGCTTCACCTTTTTCATTAAGTAGAAGTAATTTTGACACTTTGGCCATTTGATACACATCGCTAGGTAACCTATAGTAAGTTTTGTGTATTTCAGACGTGTGTCCCATGAAATTTGCTAATTGCTCCAAATCTTGTTCAGATAAATTAATTACTTGAGACATCGTTGCGAGGTGCTTTCTTAATTTAGTCGACGTCAAAGCAGCCGGATTTTTTACACCGGCAAGCCTTACATGCTTGTAAATTGCCTTCGTTCCACTGATACTACTAGAGGATTTTGTATTTGCAAATAAATATTCATTTTTGTGTCGCATAAAATGTTTCCGGACTTGCAAAAGTAAATCTGTATTTCTGACCATTTCTTCCGTAAACAGAACCGGGACTCCTCGACCTCGTTTTCCCCTTATTACAACTCTTTTGAAGGATTTCATCAGGACTTTTTCACTTTCAGTGATACAGCTATCGAATTCATTTGTACTTTTGTTATTTATATTAGCAGTATAAGAAGTTACGGTCATTCTTTGTAATTCGCCAACCCTTCTTCTATTTAGGAGAAGCAGTTGCACATAGGTTAATTCAGTTAAAGTTTTGAAAGCTTTTTCATTTTCTGGATACTCCGCGAGGGTATTTCTACATTTGTCGCTTTCAGCAAGTAGGTATGCTTTTAACAAAGTAAGATCTTCGGCTAATGGAATAAGTGAGGGTTTGTTCCACTTTTTTTGTTGTAAGTCACTGTTAGCTATGGTGGATACCTCGAACCGCCACTCATTAACAATTAATTCTTTCAAAATTTTTAAATTATTTGCATCATTTGTTTCTGCTTTATATTTTTTAAGTGACATGTTGTAAGCCACGTCAATGCAGTCTTTTAATTCCGTTCCCATGTGAGATGCTAGTGATGGAGCACCATAAGAGTCCGTTTCGGCGTCATATCGGGAGATTATTTTAGTGCACTGAACAAGAATATCGAAATTTAATGGATCTAGTGCTTGGAATAAACTTTTAACCTTAATCTTTTTTTTTATTTCTATAAGTAAGGAGGCTAGTTGTCTCATTTTGCGTGAGGCAACTAATCGGAATTGTTTGTCACGATGGCTTTTCAAATACCTCCTAGCTACAGCACATATTAAAGGATCTGTTTTCGCTGTAAATGATATCTCATCTGGTCTCATCGTTGGAAATACTTCTTTTCGCAAAATATCATTCTCTCTGTAAGCAGCAAACAAAGATTGACCCTCACTTTGGGCATTGGTTCTTATGGTTTTATCATCGTTATTATGTGGACATTTTTTCACATGTCTGTAAAGAAATTTTTTCTTATAAAACCCTTTGCAATGCTTACATGGAAGGTATGCGGTAGTAGAGAGTTGCTCTAAACTATTCAATGTAGGCTTCCTTACTGGTACCACATGTTTACCAACAGCACTTTTCAAAAAATTTCCTTTGTTTCTGAGCTTGGTAAAGAGATCTTTTCTTCTTTTGCTTCGTACATTTAGCGCTAAAATTTCTTGAACTTCAATTTCAGAATGGTGATGTCGTATAACATGTCGCGAAAACTTCATGACCTCTGTATCGCAAAAAAAGCAATGATCTTTTTTATTCCATACACGTTTCTTTCTCGAATTAGGTGCCTAGTAATAGATAGATATTCATAGATATTTTAAATTAAACTATTTATAACAATGAAACACACCTCTCCTTTGTCTAAATTTTGATTTGCCTGATTGAATTCATTATTGTCAAAAAATGTATCTTCAAAATTTGGAACATTTTCAGCATCACGATCTTCGTACGTATCAGTTTCATTAGTAGTTGTTGTGACTTCATTAAACGATATTGGACAATCTAAAAAAGTATAAACTTTCATTCACACAGTAGGGATGTATTCAAGTCTCAATAAAACTTGAAGAACAACGAAATATCTAAAGTAGATATTTATAAAAACCCCATCCGAACATGGAGCATTATTTATAGTAGAGACAACTGCTTTGGGGAGACATGAAATTAATACATTAATCTTAACTGTTTCTATTTCACAATTTGTATTATTGTTCTTTATCGTCTCCCATGGTAAGAAATATCTACTTCTTTTCACATAAAGTTATATTTTTTGTAAATATTAGACTGATGCTTATAGTCTTATCGAGTCAAAGACAATATTTATAAATTTATAATAAAAATATGTTATTCCTTTTAAAATTTTTGGCAATACTTACTTATATATGTAGATGTACTTGGTTGGTCTAAATTAGTTAATACATGTGTCTCTCTTCCTGTATTTTTGTTGATTACATTCTTCTTATTTCTATTCCCTCCATTCAACGCATTTTGTTTTTGTTCCTCCATATCAGACTGGCGATCTCGTAAAACACGTGGTGGAAACTTTATAAAGTTTTGAAATTCAGAATCGCTGTCGGAAGATGTCTCTTCAGAATCTGGAATGTATTCTTCGCCGCTGTCTTCATAGGGTTCGATTTCATCATCAAGAGTTGATGTAACTTCTTCACCAACAGTTGATATAACTTCTTTAAATAACTTATGGCGATCTAAAAAATTATGATGCCAATAGGTATAACTTATGTGCAGTACTCACTGGAAAGAAGTATGGTTATTTCATTTTGATCTAGTCCTTTCGTACTTTCATATTTTGGGATTTCCAGTAAATCCAAAGTACTAGCATCAGCCTTCAAAGTAGCTTTGGCCCTCAATAATATTTTCTGTGTTCTATTCATTCTAACTACAAAACAAGATTATCAATATGTATACTATTCGTATCATCATACATTACACAAATGCATTTAGCTTTGTCGAATGATGGCAAAAAATTGTTCAAATGATACTTAAACAGAATTTCCCTTGTCTGTTGTAACGGGCTTGGGACATTTTTAAATTTAGCTTTTTTTTAGTTCATCAAATGTGAAACTCTTGTCGTGGTCCTCGTGCCCGACATATAATGGAAATATTATTTGTTTGTTGATAGGTTGGTTCGTGATGACACATTCTAGTGACTGGACATAGAAAATACTAACTAATGAATAATTATATTTAATATGGAAATGACTACGTATTTCCAAAAGGAATTTAGTTTAGAGTTATCATACAATTATAATTAACAGAAATGTATTTTACTATTAAACCTTTTTGGTACATTAAAGAAAACGTTATAGGTATGAAATAAAATCTTTGAAAAATAAAACAAACAAACATTGAAAAATATATATAAAATGAGAATGTTACATAACACTAAAAAGGTAAAGAACACTGTAGAAGCACGTAGTCAGCGTTCATCGAAACAATATTACTATTTAACCAATAATTTTAATGCAAATTAATTTCAAAAATATGAAACTCAAAACATTATCCATTCAAGAATACAAAGGGCAGTTTACAATCAAAATTAAACTCAATTTTAAAAATAAAAAAACTACTTATGAAATCATGCACATTTCAGAGATATCAACACTTACCCCTAATGTAACAACAAAAACACACACTGGGCTGGCAACTAGTTAGGGGACTCTGATCTCTCATGAATCCTTTCGTCTTTTGTAAGTGAGAATCCCTCCAAAGGAGATGTTTATGCAAAATTATTTACCAGTTACCAGTCTATTTGGGGAGTCATAAAAGTATTCGTATTTCCGCCATATAAGGTTTAATTAAGTTTAATATTAATATTTTAATTGGCAAAAGTGCTATTATTCACAAATTTAAACTATAAAATTATAAAACTGGACAAAGATATTGCATCCAGACAAGCGGCGGCAATATTTAACTGTGAAATTATAAACCTTGATTAAAGCGGTGTGAAATCATAAAATCCAGGATTCACAAGGGCATCCTTGATCTTTGCAACGATGAGGATTGTTCTGACTCATATTGATATCTCCAAAAATAAGTAATTTATCGCCCATTACACTATGAAATATAAAGTGCAATTCAAAACCACTACATGTTTTTGAACAGTTATTAATTTTAATAAGAAGAATAACTTACTATTTTATTTGTTTTAGTGTATTATCCGTTAATTTTTCTATCCTAAGAATTATGGAGTTTTGTATATTTCATTTTTTTTTTGAAGAAAATCAAATTAACTCAGACTAACGATATACTCCCATTACAAGCCTTTTGTAAAAATTTACGTTTTTTTCGGAAATCTGCATATGTAAGATTAAAACAATGAATGTATTAATGAACCTCCACATGTCCAATTTCAAAAGTAAAGATAAATTGATAAAATACATTAAAAAAAAATATTTTCTTTAATTCACAAGAACATCTGAAATATTTTTTTTGCAAATTTTAAACAGAACTTACATAACAAATTTTGGATAGTGTTTTGCAATCTGCGGCGCAATACTAATAAAGTATATTTAGAATTTTACAATAATCAGTCCAGTAGTTTACAAACATACTTGCATAATAAAATCGCCTACAGAAGAAACGACAAATAGACAGGCGGAATCTAGAGATACAGCATTTGTGAAATGATGTCGAGGATAAGCTTCCTTTAAGCTTAGGCTCGGGAAATAAAAATATACCATTCAACAAACAATATTCTAACAAATTTGTTTCAAGGGTACGTTATTTACAGTTTTACCATACTTACCTTTATTTTGATAATTTCAATTCCCGATTTACGAACACAACACTTCAACCCAACGCGTAAAAATGAAAAGGTTATTCGTTTGTTATGTCTAGAAACGTGTGATACGGAAAATCTTAACTCAGAAAACATGGCAACATGGTGTGGACCTTACTTTAGCATGTTCATGATTTTATACATGTGTAAAGGTCCTCACAGTGTCTGCACTGAGTAACGAAATATACGGTTCTCACATTAACAGAAGAATGGTGCAGTCCTCACTTTGTGATAATATACTCGTAAAAACAAATTTTGCCGCCTTTCATTTTTCACGTGTATATTGGTGCTTCCCTTAGCGCCATCTAACCAATAAAAGTTATACCAACACTTTGACGGCTCTAGTTTCCTTTTTTCTATAGGTCCTCATTTAGTATGGTCCACAGTGAGTCCTCTCTTTGATAGTTAGCCATAAATATATATATATATATATATATATATAATTGTACCAAACATAAAATTTATTCAACAACAAAATACACTCTTAACTTATAATCAAATAAAATATATACTCAATGAAATTGAAAACGTTCTACTACTAGATTTCATCGTTATAATACGTCAATATTTATTTAATAATAATTATTTGTCCTATAACCAATTCGTTGAAAAGCGATTTAATTAATTAACATAAAAAATCATACCTCATCGTTTGTCCGGTGCAAATTCATTCTTGCCTTTGCTTGAGCCAGATAGAGTCCTACCGCTTTTTTTATTTCTGTATCCGTGGCATTTTTGTGGCGTTTGCGTGTGGCGCCTGCAATTAACCCAACTTATAAAGCTCGTAATTAATTAATCACACAACTTTACATACATATTACAGCCTTATTAACTGTGAGCTCATTAAAAGGCATTTTACTTTATCTTCCCTGCCCTGAAAACTTTACAGCAACCTGGTTCATCAGCAATTTCTTTAAAATTGCGTATACCGTTTTTTGTACTTGTTCTCTTCCTGTCAAATAAAGTACGGCAACCTGAAATTAGTCAATAATTAGTAGGAGTTAATAATATTCAAAAATGCTTACCAATTCATCGAATTTATTCTTATCTCCGGCAATTTCTAATTCTATTTCTTCTAATCATTTATGGTTGAGCACGGCAACTTATTTAGAAATATCGATTCTTCCTCCACATTAACATGCTTATATTCAGAAATATTTTTGAATGACTCTAAAAGTGTTTTAATAACTTTCAAGTCATAGTTCATTGCAGCTTGGTTTTTTAAAACTGTGTTCATAAAATCTACAAATAGTCAAATGATTTAATTATTTGTAAGTCTAACATCTCTTAAATACACTTACGTGTTGAGAAACTGGTCGCTGAATCACTTGACATTGTTAGTGTACTAGCTGAACTGAGATGTATTTGCTCTGCAAGAAAGCAGTGAGATAAAAAAATCAAATTTTTCAAAGTTTAATACCTGATTCCTTATCAGTGTCATCGCTTTCGTGCCTACTGGTGTCTCCCATATCTAAAAAAAAATAAAATCATATTGTAAAGAGTTTACTTGTCATAAAATTCTCTAAACTACCTGTATGTCTTGTTTTTCTATTAGAAAAATTGTTTGATGGTTCCTCCAGCCGTTGTATGTTCCGGTAATCTTGAATGGCTGACATTTGTTTCCTCTTAACAATAGGGAAATTGTCTGTAAAGGATGTTTTCCTTTTTATGCTATCTTCACGATCTACAAATGTTATTTATGTTTTTTTAATTCTTAATACATTTTGTAATTGAATGGATTGAGTATTACAAAAAGAAAAAAGAAAAAGAAAAAAAGCGTACTTGCGTAATCTTCGCGGTTAGTTTTATGAGATAAGAGTGGAGGAGAATCAGGTATTCTAAATTTGACTTTTTTATATTTGATTGGAACTTCATTTTCTTCCTCACTGGACGACTGGTTAGAATCCTTGTTATCTCGTGAATGTCTTTCCGTGTCTGAGGTCATTGCTTCTGTTTCTTCAATTAATCGTCTCGTCGGTTTTTTTTTTCCTCTTTTTTTTCTCACCACCTGTTTCTATATCGCTATCGCTCGATGTATCAATATTGGAAGAAAATTTTCCCTTTTCGCAAAGTTTTTTGGCAATTTCAAGTTTTTGAATATTACCCTTCTTTAGGGTAGCTTTAAACCAAGAAAAATTCTCCGTTATATTTTTGCATTCATAAATTAATTGTCTCATTTTAGTCTCAGTGCACTGCGGATACTTATAAAGAGTTTTATTTTCATTTGCCCAAGAGGACGGTACGAAGTCAATGGCATTTTCTTCGTTCCACACAATGATGTCCCACATGTTGTTCTATGTATATATTTTTTTAAATTAAACTTTCATACTGATACGAACGTTTTGTCAAGACAAACTTCCTGATAAAGAAACACACTACTGCAGTCATGTGGTACTTTAGGTTGGAATTTTGATCGTTATCAGGTAACTCATATGCCATTTAGTGGGATGGTTTTAATGAACTAATTCTTTCAATTTTGTGTCTTAAACAATCGTAATGAATAAGTTATAAAATCGTTCATTCTAAACCGGTATTTACCAAAAAAGAAAATGTAATCGATTAAAAATAAAACAGCCATTAATATCGATAAATGCCAGGTTTAACATAAAAGACAAACGACAAGAAATAACAATGTAAGAAATTATGTATAAAACAAAAAAAAGTACTTTAAAATGCTAGTAATAACAACAATTAATGAAGCATAATGGTGAAATTTGACGCTCCTTTTATAACATTACTTTTCATAATCTTTGTGAATTATTTAATTATAAATTAGAAGATCATTTAATTTTTTTTAAACCAAATCTTAATTATAAACATATTTATCAATTCATTAAGTGTAAAAGTTGAAATCCAACAAAATAATGTTCTGTATGAACGACAAAACATTTGCTAATTACATCATCCAAATTAACTTTCACGGATTCAGAAGAAAACCTCCTAAATTTAAAAACACCCACATGTTTTGAAGGTAAGGGATACTCATAAAAATTTCCCAACTCTGTTGAAAGGTTACCAGTAACAGAGTGGTTATTTATAATACCTCGTACTTTTAAAATTTTCTTTTCTTTCAACAATACGTAACAATCTCTAAAATCATTTAATTTAATGGTGAAATTGGAAAATTTTATATCTATTTCAGATATTTTAATCAAATGACTCGTCAATGGCGTATATTTTACAATATTTTTTTCTGAAAGTCGTTTACAAATTTGGGCACAAGGTCTATGAGGGCTTCGAATCATGTATTTTAATTTGCCTAAAAAATTTTCAAACGGAAAACAGCTAAGTTCGTTTAAACTTTCCTGAAGATTAATAACATCGTCAGCTAGGTGAATTAAATTGTGTACATTATATACGCAAGATCCAGATCCATACAAAACTTTAAACATTTTAACAAAATGGACTAGAAGTTTTTTAGCCGTTGAAATCCAAGAAGAGTTTTTAAAATGACTGTTTAATAAAATTCGTAAAGCACAATGGAACAGTAAGAAATGTTCGTAGTGACGTAAAGGTAAAATGTTTTTAAGAACGACAGGTCCTAAATACAGTAAAAAAAAACGAAATTCTGTAGCTTTGAATCTATTCAATTCTGAGAGCGGACGAGGTTTGCGATTAAATTCCATAGGTACACATTTTGCATATCTTAGAATTCTATTTGACAACTGAATTCGAAGATGAATAGGCAACCTAACTTTTTGGGATCGACAACCAACTGCCCAAAATAGAAGCATTTTCCGCATCACACCTAAGCAGCATAAGTGCATGTAATCCAAGGGAAATTGTTTAATTATATCTAAACTTTTCAACTGAAGAAATGGACTCTGAACACCATTTAAATGATGTTCAGGATTAACTCTGTTTGCAAAACTATCATGAGTACGTAATTCACTAAAAATTTGTAAAAAAACACGGCATTTTTCTACAGAACATCCTTTCTGAACACACCTTTCACAACCATAGAATCCATTGTGATTTTTTACACATTTAAAAAAAGAGCGAGCAGGAGCGTCACAAGTTATGCATAAAATTTTGACAGGAAGTATTATATTATCAAAAACAAAACCAGTTAATAGTAAATGGTTCATCTCCGCAACAAATTGATCTAAATAATTTTCTACTGAAAAAGGTTTACTGTCACCACAAAATAACGCGATAACGAAAGGATCGATAACTAAATTATTTAAATGAATACGACCTAAAATTGGCCAAAACTGCTTGTTAGTACTTTTAAAAATTGGTAATCCATCCACATTAAATGACAATTTAATAAAGTTTAATTTTAAAATATTCATCTGCAAGAAAGCGTCTTGCATGTATAATTTCAAAGTTGGCTGAACCCCAAAATACACAAATTCACCTTCTGTACCACAACTGCTTTTCATATTAATTATTTCTGTTTGGGCTTTGCAATGCAATATTGTTCGAGCATCAATCGGTAGAGTTAATTCTGGAAAAATATTATGCAATCCTTTTAATAACATGGATAGTTGTCGTAAATTTAAATTCGTTTCTATTGACCACGACTTAATAAAACCGACAAGAATTCGACGACGATTTGTGTCGTTGATTTCATTATCATTAATCATCATGGACGAAGATGAACACGGCCGGGTTACTTCATTAAAAACTGTTCTTTCTTGGCTTTCAATGTTGTTGATGTTTTCATGATTATTTATACCTTGATGCACTAAATTACCGCGTATATTATCAACATCACTATCCACATTTGTACCGTTTTTGCATTGCATGCAGAAGCGAGGAAATTTACTACTGTCTTCTTTACAAAACGGTATTTACTACAGTATTTTGAATTTGTCGTAGTCATTATACCTATTATTAAAGTTGTACAAGTAATCACAAGAAAACAAACACCATGTACTTACATAAAATGCTTTTTGAACCACCAAAAACAATAAATACAGCAGCTGAGTACTCATATGCACTGGAGACTGGATGCAGTTAGCGGGAAACAGAGAAACTTGCAGATCTCGCAGATTTGCATTTCGCATATACTGCACCATGTTACCCAATGCACACTGCAGATTAGTGCACAAACCAAACGCGGGAACGGAAAATAAAGTTCAAGTCACGTTCAAGTCGTGGTTCAACTGGAACCAGACCAGGCGCATCTGTAGACGAAACACAAATTCAAATTTTATAAATGTTGAATCAGATTATTACAATTTTTAATTACTTCTTAATGAGTTCGAAGTAGGATTTAAAATAATTTAAATTTCACAATATGTGGTATTTTCTCAAATCAGTTTTTAATATTGCTTCATTAAAAATGTACATAAACTATGAAATAAATTATAATATAATTAATAATAATAATATTATAATAATAATAAATAGCCGTCATAAGCACAATTGGAGACGTACGCATGATATTATAGTTCTGCAATATGGTGCATAGACAGTTACTTGTTAACGAGATCTATTACGTGGAACTACATAAGCAAGTTTGGATAAAAGAAATGGACAATCTATATTGTTAGATAGTAATTTGAACAAAAATGTTATGACTAAAATATTCGTCCGAGTAAGGACTAGTCAACAACAATGTATGGCCATATCCTCTTGCGGGGTACACACCTTCTATGGGAAAACATAAAAATTTGAAAAATTTTCGTTGAACTGCTTCGAGGCTGTTAATATATCGATTAAACATGGTATCCCATGTACAATCGATATATTAACAGCAATTAACCGATATATTAACAGCAAATTATAACTTTGTTATAACCTGGTGCATTTTTTTCAATTTTTTTTTGTTGGGTTTCTTAGTAAAAAGAATTTAATAAACGTGTAATAAATGTTGAAATTCATATATAAATTTACAAATTTAAAATGAATATTATATAAATATTTGTAATATCTAATCAACATTTAATATAATATTAATATTATAAAAATATTGGAAAAATATTGCATGCTACTGGGGAGGATTTAAAATTTGTTCAGTCCTCAGAATACGTAAACGAAATCTATCTCTATCTGCAGCACATTGTATCCATTTATCACCTCTTCTGGCTTGAGAGTAAGCGTATGACCAATGACACATATAATGAATAGTTGGAGGTGCTTCAGAGAAACTAACACTTTTTTTCATATTAAGAATTGCACTTTTTCACTTTTAGGTCTATATTCAATTATCTTATCGTGTATAATTAAACAATAAGCCTTGGTCGATTCGGGAAAATTTTCATGACTTTCAAATTCTAACTTTATGTCTACCACTGACGCTTTCAGAGGTTCAGGTTGTTTTGAACAATCAATTACAAACAGAGGTGTGTTGGCAAAAGTAGAGTAGTCAATTATTGGATCGGCAGCAGAATTTCCAGTCAACTGTTGCACTAAATTCATGTATGCCGTATATGCTGATAGATACTGATTAGATGTAAAATCGAGACTATGATCTGCATAAGGATAAACACTTGAACCCACCCATGCTTGATATTTTCTCAAGTTAATATGGCTGAATTTCGTAACATCTTTTTTATGGTTGTCTTTTATGTTTGTTTGGAATGCGAAGACGATGTATCTGGGCGTTTCTAAATTTGTCGTTGTTTTAATACTCCAAATTTCTTTGTCAGTGCCTGTTTTTAGCTTTGCTAAGCTAATACATGAAGTTCACTTTTTCTGTAACCTATAGTTATAGGTTTATCGGGTTGAATTTTCGGCCATAGCGTTATTTTCGCTTTGTCGCTGGGATAAATGTGCTTTGCTTGTATCGACACGCTATGCACTTTTATGGTTGCTTTCTTTGCACTTCCAGTGACCATATACGCGTTATCATCATTGCGACTGCGTACAAGTCGTATAGAATGATGTCCAAACATAACGTTTCTATAGTAAAAGAATATACCAAAAATATAACTAAATGGCACCCATATTTCAAATTTCTTGGTTTTTTCGTCTTGGGTAAGTATTGTATGGCCTGTTGCATTTGGATTCCAACCGGCTTGTATAAGATTCTTAGACTGATTTGCTAAATAAGCACAATAATTATGAATGGTTGTTGTAGTACCAGGATCTCTTATTTTTTCAACTTCTTTGCCATTAAAAGAGTAAATTATGGATTCAAACAGGTAAAGACCTGCATTATTTGTTAATTTACGTTCTCCCGCAACAGGGGTTTCTGTTTTTTCACTTTCTATAGCAACAGGTACTGTAGTAGTTGCTTCTTCTTTTAGTTCGCCAATAATTCGAAGTTTCGAATCACTCATGCAAATAAATGCATCAGGTTGATGAATGTCAATTTGTATCTCATCACTGTTATTAAACGATTGCACGTAAGGATAATAAGTACGTTCCTCTTCTCTATCTACGCTTTGGTCTATTGAGGGGGATTGATAGATATCCAAAATTTCTGACATTGTAACCCAAGGAACGTAGAATGTAAACGCTGTATGGTGATAGTGTCTTCACTGGCGAATATCTGTCAACTAAAGATGTGATCCTAAATGACTTCTTATTTATATTACGTGTGTTATTGCGAAATGTAAGACCCATTAATAGTTTTTAATTCCAATCGGACCACTAATTCTTCACCACGAAAGTTAATGGGATCTGAGTTTTGATCTGTTAAGATTTTTCACCAAGAAAAGCAGCCAAATAAAACATTTCTATATTAATCGACTTGTATACAGGAGTATGTCAAATACCATAGACATAAAACTAATAGATTTCTCACTCTAAGGTTATTAAATACAAAATTAAGGAATTACATCAACACTCTCCCTTATTTAATAACAACAACATGCCTAAATTTTTGCATAAATCCCTAAACCTAACTGATGACAATGGTTTTGTCAATACATCTGCAAGCTGTCTCTGCGACTCTACTTTATAAATTTTAATTTGCCCAGAAGTGACTAGTTCGCGTACAAAGAAATGTCGAGTACGAATGTGTTTCGTTCTTCTGTGAAATTCCGGATTCTGAGCCAATCGAATTGCAGCTTCATTGTCTACCTGTAGTGCAGGCGTCTCTTTCAACTGACCAAGTTCAGTCAAAAGCCTTTTAATCCAAATGATTTCCCGAGCAGCTTCACTCGCGGCTACGATCTCAGCTTCTGTAGTGGAAATTGCAACAGAGGCTTGTCTTTGACTCATCCATGAGATCGGCGCCCCAGAGTATAGGCATAACACCCCTGATGTTGATCGTCCAGTGCTGAGATCACCACCATGATCAGCGTCGCTGTAGCAGATAAGAACCCCTTTTTCATGGTCATTCTTATACAAAAGTCTATAATTTGAAGTTCCTCTCAGGTACCGCAGAATTCTCTTCACTCGAACCACGTCACGTTCTGTAGGATTCTCCAGGTTCCTGGACACCACACTGACAGCATAAGCGATGTCTGGCCGAGTTCCACACATCAAAAACATCAGTGCTCCCACCACTTGTCGGTATGGAAAATTTTCATTACGGGGACTTTCTTCAGTTTCATTATCTTTGACAATGGGAGTGCTCACTGCATTACAGTTGCTCATGTTAAATCTTTCTAACAACTTTTCCGTGTAGTGAGTTTGAGCGATCTGAAGGGAGCCATCTCCTTCTCGTTCGATTTCAAGTCCAAGAAAATATGTCGCCGGTTTGAAAGTAATTTTGAATTCTTTCTTCAACTCATTGATGAAAATTTGAAGTTCTTGTTCATCTTCACTTGCGATCAGTCCATCATCGACGTAGAGAAGAAATATCATCGTCTTTCCATCTTTTTGTCTCACAAAAAGACATGGATCGGCCTTGCTTTGTTTAAATCCAAGTCGTAGAAGCAGTTCGGTGATCTTCTTATTCCAGCAACGAGACGCCTGTTTTAGTCCATACAGACTTTTCTTCAGACAACAAACTCTCCCAGATTTATCCCCATAGCCTTCAGCTTGTTGCATATAAATGGTTTCATCCAGGTCACCATATAAGAAAGCTGTGGAAACGTCGATCTGAGTAAGTTTCATGCCTACATTGGCTACTACACTGAGTAATGTTCGAATCGTTGACATTCTTGCAACTGGACTAAAGGTCTGATCATAATCTACTCCTCTTTTCTGATTGAATCCTTTGATAACCAATCTGGCCTTGAACTTGTCGACTGACCCATCGGCGTTTGTCTTTATCTTGTAGACCCACTTGTTTGGAATAGCCTTTCTTCCAGGAGGTAAACTGACTAACTCCCAGGTCTGATTATCTTTCAGAGATTGCATCTCACAATCCATAGCTTCTTGCCATAGTTCTCTCTGATCTGACTTCATGGCTTCACTGTACGTTTCTGGTTCCTGAAATGTCGAAAGATACAGCGCGTAGTCGTCATATCGGATCGGAGCTTTAAGATTTGAGCGATCTCGTAATTGTCGAGGTTTGTTGACACTATCTTCATCAATGGGTTCTGGTGTTTTATTTTCATCACTATCCGTACTTTCTGCCTCGCTCTCGAGTCCACAAAAGGTTTCGTCTTCTTCATCAGTTTCATCGTTTTGTTCAACCCGTTTATCAGCATGCGTCAAGTCGCCATGTTGATCAGAAAGTTCGATGTTTCCTGGAATTACTACACCTCTCCCTTGCTGTAAAGTTTTCTCCTCAAAGATAACATCTCTTGATCTAATGAGCTTGCCCTCCTCTTCACAGTAAATTCTATATCCATCGTCGTGGTCGTAGCCGATCAATATTCCTTTAATGGCTTTTCGATCCATCTTGTGCCTTTGCTGTTTCGGCACATGAACATAGCACGTGGAACCTATGATCCGTAGATGTTTCAACCTTGGTTTCTTCCCATACCAAAGTTCATATGGAGACGTCCATGCAACACTTGAAGGTCCCGTTCGATTTAGGATGTAATTCGCTGTGCGAATCATTTCAGCCCACAGACTCTGTTGAATGTTTCCATGAGCATGCATTATTGCTCTACCAGTTTCAACAACTGTGCGATTTTCTCTTTCACTTGTTCCATTCTGTTCTGGAGTATATGGCATCGTAAGACGGTGGTTTATACCTTCTTTTTGTAAGATTCTCCTTACTTCTCTGTTGTCAAATTCTTTTCCATTATCACTCAACAGTTCCTTAATTAAATGTCCCGTGGTTTTTGTTTCTGCTATAAACTGACTTAGCTTTTCTGCAACTTCTGACTTCTCTTTAATAAAGTAGATAGTCCTGAATTTTGTCCAATCATCTTTGAACAAAACAAAATACCGAAAGCCTGACATCGATTCTTCAAATGGCCCACAAACATCTGTGTGAATCCGCTCTCCCGGCTTTCTAGTTTTTTCTCTGGTACCGAAAGGTAGACGATGAGCTTTCCCATAGATACATCCTTCACACAGTTCACTATCCATTTCCACCGTAACGTTGAATTCTCTGTCCAGCAGGGACTTCACGTGTCGTTTATTCTGATGTCCAAGTCGTTCGTGGTATAGCTGCAAAAGATTCTCTTTGCCTGTGACATTAACTTCATTTGGAGACGTAGGTTTCACGCTTCTCACTGCCAATTTAAAAAGTCCTCCATAACGTTTTCGTACACCGACTAACACTACATCTTTGCCAACTTTAAAATTTCCAATTTCTGTGGTTGAAAGAAACTGACTATCTGGGTGTTTGTCGTGTGCAGCTAGAACAGAAAACAGATTTTTCTTTATTCCAGGCACACACCATACATCTGTCAGAGTGATCCTGTGCCACTTGCCTCCGATAGCTGCCTCTATGTCAACTTCACCTTTGCCGATAGCTTCAATTCTTTCACCGTTTGCCGTGGTTACTGAGTGTGCTGTTGTGAATGGTTGGAGAGTTTTAAAGTAACTTTTGTCGCTTGAAATATGATTTGTAGCGCCATTGTCTACATACCAATCATCTGCACCACATTCTGAATTCATCACTGGCGATGTAACAATCAAAAGAAGCATGTTTGAAGTTTGTTCTGGCTTGTTATCAAGTTTTGGAGGTCTTCCATCCGCAATCCACTTTCTGCATACTTTTATAACATGGTTGGGTTTCTTACAATAGTTGCAAAGTATCTTCTTCTTTTTCTTCTGTTCGGTCGAACTTACTTGTGTAGCAGTTCTTTTTGATGAGTCCAAAATGAGAGCTTCCTGTCCCGATGATCCATCCTCATTGTTTTTTAAGGCTCGCTCATAAGCACACAGTTGATTTGTCAAATTATCAACCGTTCTGTCACTTTTTGACATCATCATCCAACTTGACTTGAAGGAAAAATAATTGTCTGGTAGCGTACCTAAAATTTTGCAAATCAAAAACAAATCGGGCAGTTCTGTATTACCATCAGCGTCGTTTCTCATTTCCACTTTTAACTCGCTCCATAGATTCTTTAATTTTGATATATGTGTAGCCATATCGTCGCTGGAACATTTTTTGAAACTAAAGAATTGTAGACACAGGTTGTACACTTTGTCTTCTGAAACGCCATCAAAAAGTTTGTGTAATTCTAGCCATACTTCCCTGGCACTGGTTAATCGCATAATTTTCTTTAGAGTTTCCTCAGTCATATTATTTGTCAAGATAATCAATGCATTGCTCTCTGTTTTATTAAATGCATCAAGTGCAGTTTGGTACGCCGTCTTTTCTTCCGGCTTTGCACCATCATCTAGTGAACTAGGCTTCACTGACCTGCCTTCAATGATATCCAGAGCTCTTTACTTTAATTTTGTACTTCCACGTATCCCAGTTCGACTTTCCTTCCAAAAGACCGACATTGATGATTCTTGTTGGATCCATTGTTCTACGTCTATACTTCTTTTTTAGTACGTCTTGGATAACCTCAGAATGCACGTGTTGGATAATCTTAAAATCGACCTCGTGGAGATATCTTTCAAATAGTTTTCAATATTTGGCTTTTTGTTTGGTACTCATGTTTTTCAACTTTATAGCGTTCTGGGCCCATAACCTGTTAAGATTTTTCACCAAGAAAAGCAGCCAAATAAAACATTTCTATATTAATCGACTTGTATACAGGAGTATGTCAAATACCATAGACATAAAACTAATAGATTTCTCACTCTAAGGTTATTAAATACAAAATTAAGGAATTACATCAACATGATCGATCAGTTTGATGGTTATTTTATCAATGACGTTTTTGTTAATTAATGGCAAATATAAAGGATGCATTGGTTCGATATTTATGGCATATCCAGGATCTACTGTTGGAGATAATTCATAGGGGGTGTGACAAGGTAGGCCAGCGTAAAATGAACCTGTCACAATGTTACATTCCACTCGAATTGACGTTACCGTAATAATATTTACAGACATATCAGACTCGTGTTTTGTATTCGCTACTAATACTTTTTTAGAGAAACACAATAAATTTCCTAGTGTCCCTTTTTTACCAAAATCAATATTGTAGATACTTTGTAGTTATGCTTTCAATGTGTTATTATTCGGTTTCAACGAAAAAAATTGATCTCTCGATGTTTTAGTTGATCCATTGATATGTTCTTGGATGTAACGTTCCAGATCGCTTATTTCGTAGCTAACTGTCGCAATAATTAATTTCTTTAGATCCACATCTTCTTTCTCTTTCGAGTTTGACGGCGATGAAGAATAATAATAAAGTTTATCATTTACTCTGGTTTCGACGTTAGGTATGCTATTATATGTGAATAATCCTATTAATCCCAAACAATAATCGTAATTAGGATTTAATTCCACAGGTGGATATAAATCAGCTTCTAGGAAGCTACCGTGACCTTTTAGTGTGAAGGTTCGACTCATGACTAAATAAAAAACTAGTTTTGCTTACAAATTTATTAAATCAAGAACTGCAAACATAAATGTCCACAATTGTATCCTAGATTTTGGTATTTATCTTGATTATATAGTATTCTACAATTATTTAGATAACTTGCTAGCTCTAAACACGGTTTCAGATTACCGATACTATCAAAGTATCGTATAATATTGTTCGATTTCTTATAGGCTACCCAATGAGTTCCACATCCATGTTTTGAATCCAAATTTACAATACCAGATTCATGTTTTCGAGGACCATCTTTTGGCAGATAATCTCTTATGAAAACGTCTCGAAAATGTGGAATGTTTAAGAGTTTTGCGTACTTTCGTAGATCAAAGTCCGTGAGTGCTTTTTTGGGTAGCCTTATTGGAAGTTTTTTCAAAACTTTTTGAGAAAAAGTCCATAACCTTTGAGATGTTTCATCAAGTATAAACCATCGCCCTGTTTACCTATAGCTATAGCTTCCATTTGTTTGTTATGTCGTTCAGATTCTTCCAACGCTTTTTTCGCCGCTTTAGCATCGTTAATCGCTTTAACTATACCTGCGGCCCCTCCTGAGATAGCACCTATAGCCGATAAACCAGCAAATATTGCAGGTAAAATTGGTAGTATACCACCTACTTTAGGCAGTGGTAATATTCGTGGTATTCGAATGCGTTTTTTACCACCAGCTTTTTTCACCGCTACACGGGCTGTTTTTAATAAGGTCGACACATCATCAACGTCATTAATTTGTTTCTTCAATTTTTTTAACACAGCTTTTTGAAGAGTTTCGAGTTCTTTCTTTATAGTTGCAAACTCATCCCTAACTTTCTTTTAACTTTCATTGCATTCGTTACGAACCACAAGCACTTGCTTTTTCTCCTAACGAAGCGTCTGATACTTTGACACATGCCCAAGCCTTGTTTTCTAAAATTTCGTCTGCTTTATGTCTTTCTTTCAGATCTTTAGTTCGTAAATATGCGATATCGTGCTCTTTACCACTTCTGTCTAGCTATTCCAGGGTCGCCGCGTTCAAGCCTCTTCGCAAGCTTGCGACGAAATTCCAGATGATGGGACGGACGGTCGCCGATAACGTATTGGGTGGCGGCGTACTTCGGTGCCATGCTTTGGGTCGACTAGTATCGCTGATATCAGAAACACGTCTGGTCGACCAAGCTTATGCGACTACCTTCACGCCGCCGGGGGTGGCGCCTTCGGTCAGGAGCGGCGGCCGCTCGGGCGCAAGCTCCCTCTCCGGGAGAGGGAGCGCCGGGGTGCTCTAAAGCCGGAGACACCGAATGCAGATGATGAGCCGCCGCGAAAACTCGAGAATAAGAAATAAAACGGCGAAGATATTTTATAACAAAATAGGGTTTATTCCCTGCCAGCAGCTACACGGTCTAAAATAATAAAACTTACGGCTAAACAACTTAAATATCTAACAAAACGGTTTTACAAACAAAAAGAATTAAATGTCCGGCACGTTCGTTCCTCCTAGGCGGCGACTTCCTTCAGGCCGGGCTCTGGGGGCGGCGACCTTGAACCTAGAAATCGCCCGAAGACGGCACGGCGACCCGGGAGGGGAGCGCGGTGACGGTAACGACGCGTGCACGACGGTGTCGACTTTCGACGGTGACAAAAAAAACGTGGTGACGGTGACACGGTTTTTCGCTCGGGGGCGGCGATTCCAAAACCGGTACAAAACAGGCAGACGACCCAAAAAGGTACTTACGGTGGTCGGGGGGGTCGAACTGCTCACTTTGTCACACTTCTCACTTTCAGGAAAAATTCCCACAATCGCCACAGCACTTCTTCACGGCCGAAGACGTCAGGCAAGAATCCCCTTCCCCCGCCGCGGCGGCGCGGCGATCGCCAATTTACCCCTGGCCCTCGCGGTACGCGTCACGGTTTCTGGTCCGCGAAAATTCGCTTCGTTACATTCCCCCCTTTCGTCGGTAAAAAAAAGGAGTGCAACTTCTTTTTTTTTCTTTTTATTGATTACCTACCCCCACTAAAGCACCCTACAGAAAAGAAAAAATTAAATACACAGACTTCGGCTTCGGCGACTGTTCACATGCGGCTTCCGGTTGGTCCTCGCACGGCATTGGTCCTCCTAGACGGGCTCACGCGGGGTGACGGCAGGGGGGAATCCCTAGAGATGGAGCGCCGGACTTCGCCAGAGGACGGTCGACGGGGGCAGCTTCTGCGGGGTCGCTCCGGTAGGCCGCACTGGCAGGCGGCGGACGTGGTGCCCACGAGGCCGCATCGCGAACAAAATTTGGGGCCGGCCGGATACGGGCACTGGCCCCGACAGTGGCCCGGTCGTGCGCAATGCCAGCAGACCTCCTGGTCCACTGGCACATACCGAGCCACAGGGTCTCGTCGGGGGGCCTCTCCGTCTGTCTGGACCCTGCGGGAGACTAGCTGGGGAGCTACCCCCATGGGCGGTCCCACCTGGATTCCCCGGGACTTTGGGCGGTGTCCAGCGGCGGCGGGATCCTCTCCCCGGAGCAGCTCAGCTACCAAATCCCGGACGACCGGGTTATCCATCTGAAAACAGACATCACAGTCAATCACAGCGTCGTTTAGAGCGCGTCGGATGCGCGGGTTTCTAGCCGACGGCCCGGGCACGGGTGGCAGCGCGGTAGACACGGCAGGGGTGTTCTGCGACTCAGGGCGATTCCACACTAGCATCCCTCGGGGGATGTCGATGGCGATGGCGTTGGCGCGCAGGAAGTCCATACCAGCGTGCTTTCTGTAAAAAACTTATTAGTGAAGCATATAAAGCATACTTGTATTCTGCTGAGAACTCATTATCTAATGATCCTAAAAAATTATGGAGTTTTATAAATAATAAAAAAGGATCGACACGTATTCCAGGCTTACTATATCATGATAACATCGAGATTTCTGATCCTCTTGAAATAGTTAATGCTTTCGGCCATTATTTTAATAGTGTTTTTATTCCTCCGTCTCCTCTTGCTGCTGACAGCATCTCTGTACATTGCAACCCCGGATCGTCGATAATCTCTGTAGATCATATTTCCATATCTGATGTAGTAGCACTCTTGCAACAATCCAAAAACTCGTTAACATCGGGAATTGACAATGTTCCTAGTTTTATACTTAGAGACTGCGCTCATGTCCTTGCTGATCCTCTTCATACTATTTTTACTTTAATTTTGCAATGCTCAGAGTTTCCTGGTATTTGGAAAAAAGTCATGATTTGTCCAATTATCAAAAAAGGAAAAGCTAACCAAATTTCGAATTACAGACCTATATCCTTGCTTTGCAATTCTGTGAAAACTTTTGAATCAATTTTATATAAATACATCTATAGTTTAATTAAACATTTAATATCTCCTTACCAGCATGGATTTATGTTAAACCGTTCAACTGTCTCCAACTTAACAGTATTTTCACAGTTCGTCTCAGAAACGCTCGATGCCAAAGGACAAGTTGATTGTATACATATATCGACTTTTCCAAGGCATTTGATCAAATCGATCACCATATACTATTACAAAAGCTTCGTATTCTAGGTTTTTCTGATTCGTTACTAAAATTATTTTTGTCTTACCTCTCTAATCGTGAATTTAGGGTCAGATATCGTAACTTCACGTCCTCTGCTTTTTCTCCCACATCTGGGATACCCCAAGGGTCTAACCTGGGGCCGTTGATTTTTCTTTTATTTATTAATTACCTTGCAGATGTGGTATTGTGTGACAAATTAATGTTTGCCGATGATTTTAAACTTTATTCGAAAATTGAGTCTTTACATGATTGTGCATTGCTTCAACGAAATATTGAAAATATTGTGCAGTGGTGTCTGGAAAATCGTCTGTCTCTGAATAACAGCAAATGTAATGTAGTATCTTATTCAAGAAAACACATAAAAATTATTTACGAGTATAACATTAATGGTTCCACTATTGAGAGATGTCACACAGTCAAAGATTTAGGTATAATATTTGATAGTAAACTCACCTTCGTGCAACACATTCATGCGTCTATTGCTGCTGCACTTAGAACCTATGGCTTTATATATAGGAACTGCAGCAATTTTTGTAATATTAGAACACTTAAAATATTGTTTTGTTCCTTGATTAGGTCGAAGTTGGAGTATGGTACTTCAGTTTGGTATCCGATTTATGAAATACATTGCCGTCATTTAGAATCTGTTCAAAGACGATTCCTCAAATTTTTAGTATATTTGGAGGATGGTGTTTATCCCCCTCAAGGTTATGAACACTCCCTTTTACTTTCTCGTTTTAATTTTTTGTCTTTGGCTGTACGACGAAAAATGATAGCGGTCAGATTTTTATATAATTTGTTTCACAATAAAGTAGACTGCATTGATATTCTAAGTAGATTTAATATACTTGTACCTAGACTTAATTCTCGTCAACAAGTTCTGTTTTATATTGATTCTAGCCGTACAAACGTCTCAGTTCGCTCTCCAGTGTCGGTTATGTGTAATTTATTCAACAAAATTGCACATTTATGTGATATTAATTTTGATTCTAGTTTTAGTATTTGTAATTGCATTGTAAATTTGGGTTAATGTTTAATTAGCTGTAGATACTTTTGTTTTTTCAGTATTTATACTTTTTTAGTTACTGTCATGAATTAGTTTAGTTAGTTTGATATTATTCGTGTAATTGGGTGTTACCTGTAGGAATAAATATTATTATTATTAATTTACGAATTTCATGTAGGTGATATATACGAATATATTAAGAAAGATTCTCATCGGTTTGATACTTCAGACTATGATTTGTATAATATTTATGGTATAGAACAAAAAAATAAAAAAGTGCCAGGTTTGATGAAAGATGAAAATAACGGTAAGATTATGTTAGAATTTGTGGGTCTCAGATCGAAAATGTATGCATATAGAGTTGCAAAGGATGATTTTAATAAAAAAGTAGTTAAGAAATCCAAAGGTAGTACGAAAGCTTCACTTAAAACAATAACATTCGAAAATTATAAAGAATGCTTATTTAATAGCCGAAATTACGAAAAGTCCCAAAATCTCATCAAATCAAAACATCATATTGTTTACACAATAAAACAGGAGAAAATAGTTCTCAGCCATAATGATGATAAGAGAATTGTTACACGATTTGCAACGGATGCGCGACCTTGGGGATATCATATTTCGCCACCAGAAATTTCTGGTGGCGAAATATGAAGAGTGGGGAATTATAATATAAAAGCAGTTTAAGTTAGCTGATGATTTATTCGATGTTGGTGATTTCACATTACTACAATGTCTGACTTGAGACAATTTGTTGATTTGCAAGCATTTTGTGCATCCGAAAAGGTGTATAAAATTTATCTTCGCGCCGCTGCGAATGATAGGACAAAATTAAATTTGTTCCTTTACATTATTGAAAAAGCAGAATTTATTGTACCGGATGAAGTGTTTAAATGGATTGCTGAACATGAAGTTGGTTTTTTACTCTTGACATATGTGTACTCCTACAAAAGAAACAATCTGTTGACAGCTATATTGATGCATTTCTACATATATGTGAAAGAGACAACATTGAAAATTTAAATTCTGCCACCAACTACCTTGATAATTCACTAGTTTATAAATCTTTTATTTATAAATTATTAAGTGATCATCGCTGGCAGAATCTGGGGGATATCTTCTATCCTGTTGAAAATATCCGGAAAAATTACCTACGGATTCAGCAATGTGTTGACGAATTTATGTGTCGAGCTGCATATTTGGCAAATCACAAAGCACTCACTACATTCTTTGAGGCTCTAACGATAATCAATTACGATTCCTTCACATTTAAACCCTCTGAAAATCAGGAGCACAAAAGAATTTTCACCTGGCTCAAAAAGAACATTGTCAAAGGCGAAGCTAATCCTGAATTACCATTAGGATGGACCGAAGGACCAGATGCGGCAAGATGGCCCTCAATTAAATTAGATGATTATAAGAAAACTTTAGATGTAATTTTTGGTTGTCATAAATAAAATACACAAAAATGGTTGTATATGTAGGTTTATTTACCCCTCAAACATAATACATTAATTTTAAATACAGTAACATTTTAAATTATTCACAACACTCTGACGACATCTTGTGCAGGAATGTATTTTACCATTCGGTCATGAAGAATAAGACAATAGGCTGTGGTGTCTGCTGGAATACCTGAGGTCGTTTCAAACCACAAAGTAATTGTAACGGGGCCTCTCTTCAAAGCTTCCGTTTGTTTAGAACAGTCGATTACTACTATGGGTGTCTTTTCTTTAAATTCATCCTTATCGAATAATGGCTCGCTAGTTTTGGATAAGAACGATGTCTGGAACTCTTTAAACATATCATAGAGAATTGCATAACGATTATTTGTGAAATCAACATTCAGGTTGTCGTAGGGATACATGGTATCGTTAAGATACAATTTTACATCTCTCAGATTACAATGATCAAATTGACTGTAGTTTTTCTTCAATTGATTTTTTCTTCCCTGTTGCAATGCAAAAAGTATGTACTGAGGTTTTTCTAAGGAAGTTTTAATAGTCCAAGTATTAGTTATCGATTGAACTGGTGGCGCAAATTCATGTAATTCTTTACTTCCAAACATAATATCCAATTCCCTGTTGCTCCTTACAATATCGATCAAGGCGATCCTTTCGGCATCGGACACGGACAAGTGATGCATTTTCCAGCATATTTTACTAAGTTCTACTTTAATTTTGTATTTATTATTTGAAGAAATTAAAGCATTTACATCGGTATTAGAACGAACTAAAACAAGCTCTTGTCTTACATTCAAAATAGCCTTTTTGAAATCTTCGCAAAAGCCAAAAATCATTTTTAAAGGAATCGAAACTTCAAAAGTTCCATTTTCTTTAATTATATTCGAATCTTTTTTAGGAAACCATCCAGCATTCTCTAGAGCTACGCTTTCTTTACTGTTATACGTTACATATCCTTTCATGGTGGACGCTAACCCTGGGTTTCTATAACTATCCACAACGACTCCAGCAATTTCATATCTTATTTGATTAAACAACAAAAGAACGCCATTATTTACAAATTTGATTTCTGGTTTCTGTACAATTTCGTCCATTTCATTTTTCACAATAATCTTACCCTCTATATGCAATGTACTCAAATGAGGAAAAGTGTATAAATCTTGATGTTCAATAGGAATTCTTATTATTATTATTATTATTATTATTATTATTATTAAGTAGTAAGTTGACCAACAGGTCAAAGCCCAATTACAGGTCAACTATAATACGCCTTAACATGAAGAAAGGAAGAAATACTGCAGCTATAATTACTGGAGTTCTGTGATAAGAGTTCAGCATGCCAAGGCGATATCAAAACTGAAACTAATACTAGACAAAGTTATCTAAAGATATCAAAGACATACGGATCTAAGTTATACTGGTGACACATTTCATAGACTGAAGAGTGTTTTTCGATATTTAGACGAGGAGTTGGAAGATAAAAACATTGATTAGATCGAGATGACATTCTAGGTACCAAGATGAATATCTTACCAAGAAGATCAGTG